ACGTATGGGTCCCACAGGGTATGTGAGAGGCTTGAATCACTATGGCCCCGCCGGGAAACGAGCAGTGTGGCCGAAAATGACATTTTTACCCTTTTAAGCCTAAAACGGGCAACCTCGAGCCAATTCGCTTTTCTTCAATTTGAATTGACCTTTAATGACCATACATGGCCTAGAATACAATTAGAAGATCCCCAATGCAATGGACGGTCCAAAAATACTGATTTACCCTTGTAAACCTAAGTGACCTAAATAGTGATCGGGGTTGATTTTCTCATTCTTAAGCAATCTAAAATGGTTAGAATTGACTTCTAAGACTTCATTTAGACTTCTAATGCATTGTACAGGTCATATAGACCATTTTTGTAATTTCCGGAATAGATAATGCAGGAAACCTTAAGAATTCTATAGAGAAATTTAATTGTATAACTTTTCTTTCGTACGTACAATATGAGAAACTCATACCACATTTATAATGCTCTCGCCACCCACTCCTAGAAGGACTATTAGAGCAACCACTTTCTCTTATCCTCATCTCCTTTTCATTCCTAATTTCCTCATAACTCTATTACTTGTTATACAAGTTACACTAGAAGTACAATTTAAACGGGCCTATCCATAACTTGGCTTACAACAGGCCTTTTTTAGGACTGATGAAAACCTATGACCCAATTAGTTGGCCAAAGAATTATATTAAATTCCATAACACGAAACTAAACGCCCTAGGGTTGAGAATGTCGGTGGCTCTTATATATATAAACATATTTATGTGTATAAATGTTCTTGTTTTGTCTGCGATTTGTTCTTATTAATTATTTCAATTGATTCATTTCATGCCTTAAAAATAGTTGTTTCTATTTTAAAATTTTAAATAAAACTTAAAACAAGGTTAATTTAGTCATTTTACAACCTACTTAATAGCTTCGTCTTGAAATTGAGTTAAATGATCACTTTTGATGCTTTAATGAAGAGTGTAAAAGAGGGGAGAGGACTTTATGATTGATTCTATGATTAAAGGTTTTTGATCAATTGAAAACTTTTTCCTTGTAAAAACAGTATATATAATAAGGTTGTGTTTGGCTGCATGAAATTGAAGCATTGGAATTGGTGGAATTGGAGAAAAAAATTAGTTCAATTTTTTGAGTTCCAATTCCACCAATTCTAATTCCAAAGCTCCAATTTCATATAGCCGAATATAGCCAAAATATTTTCGTCAAAGGTTATTATCGTTGATTTTAGCGACCAAACTTAATCAAATCAATAATAAGTGACCTCACATAGATATCATCTGGAGAATACTTGTTCAAACTAAATGTAATACTTGATGATTACCCAAAGTACCCCTGATTTTAGAACTATGTGGTCCACTGAATAAATAAATCAAAGCAACCACTAACTAATACACTAGTCCACTATTATCTCTGTCCTATAAGCAATTTGCTATAACACAATTATAAGGAGATGAGGATGAGAGAATCATGCTATTACGGGGAAATAATGGAATCAATAACACATGGCGGCAGTAGCAACAATACAAATTAATATATATCAACTAAATCACATTCACACACACACACAAGTCCATCACAACACCGTCAATGCAATGAATGCTCAAGCCATGTATTTTCCCGAACCAATCCCAAGACCTCATCCTTGATACTTGCCTAGCTAATCCAACTCTCCACACGCAATCAAACCAATGCCCACAGACTCCAAATGGCACAAACCCACCGCTCATCCACCATTTGGCTTATCGGTTAGCTGTCTCTAACATAAGATCGACCACAGCTTATCGCCATTTGGGGCTTAGTAACCAAAATTTCGGAAACAAGACTACCGTTTATCTTCCGTCCATCACATACCTTCCTTTACTAGTATTCCATCGTTCTCACATCACCCTTTTACTTACACATTCTTTACCCAATACATTTGCTAAAGTACTTTCATGACATTCCCCTATCTAGCCATATGAAATGAACATACCATTAAAAACCATCAAAGTCACTCACACACAAACATGCTTTCATAATACAAAAACTCAACAAATAATTTCATGAAATCAATTTATCAAACATTCATATGCTTTACATCAGGAGGAATATATCTAAATCATGTTATATACATAACTTACCAATTTCATCATCACAAAGCATTGATAATTTCCTCAATTAGAGCACGCTTTCACATAATTATTTTAACATATAAAATTGTCATATTTTATCATACAAATCATGCTTTTCAAATTTTTCACATGTATGGCATAATTTCTACACAACTAAACATCACATAAGCATGTTATAATTAGAACTTCCACATAACTAAGCAAACGATCAAATTACGACATTCATATCATACTAATATATATAATTAATACATAAGAACTCACAATTAACCTAAGACTCCATGAATTAAACACTCCTACCATAAATTAACACTTCGTATACCAGAGCACAGTTTGTAATATTATGAAGTGTTGTTCCTGATATATACTTTGGCCAGAATATCGCGATTCGGCGATACCTCTAAGGCTGCCGTCCAGAGGAGTATAATTGTCAGGGGTATAATTGTTTTTTAAGTAATATGATATTTTGAAAAAAAATGTGATTAAAAAATTATGGATAAATTTGTATTTTTTCATATTTTTAATGGAAATCGTACGTGACAAAACAATAAAAGTAGACCTAAGTGATATTTATTTTCGAAAGATATTTGAGAGTGATATTTGGCCAAACCTGAGGGGGTATCAGTAAAATTAATCCAAAAAAATATAATATAATAAGATAAGATAAAGTGCACAACAACCCCCCGCGCGAATTATCTTTTCTCTCTCAAGAAACCCCCTTGAACTACTAAATGAACACTTAACCCCTTAAATTATCTCCATTTTTTTGTAATTAACCCCACACCGTCAATCATCCATTGAATTCCCAACAGTATGCAGTCATGTGACCTCACATTATTTTAAATGATGCTTATGCCCCTTTTGATTGTCATACAATTTCTTAAACCAATTTTGCTCCATTTTCGTTTTCATGTGCACAGTAGGAATAAACCTTAAACATGTTCAGAAGTCCATGATACTTTGCACTTCTTCGGAACCCTAACTACTCAATCTTTTCCTCTATCTCCTAAATTGAAGGATAACCGAAAAGAAAAAAAAAAAAAAAATTGTTGCTGAAAGTTTTCCTCTTTATGTCTATTAATTAATCCTAAATTGATGGATAACTAAAAGTGAAAGAGGAAAGTAAAACGTAAAAGACACCTAGGATTTCACAACATTCACCTCTCAAGATCTCTCTCACTAATATATATTTTTTAAAACGATACTTAGGTCCTCACTAGTAAAGATTTATAATATACTAGTAGTTGATGTTGATCAATAATAATGGGACACATTATATTTTAATTACTAAATCATAAATGATAATCAAATCAATATATCTTATTTGGTAATTGAGTATCTACCCCCACCATTTTAATTTGATAATTAAAAATGACATGTTTATTTATTATTGGTCCACATCAATTGTGAGTATGTTGCAGATCCTCGCTAATGAGGACTAAGCATGGTCATTTTTTTTTTTTTTTTTTAATCGTCCAAATCCTACAACTCCATGTTTTTCATGAATTTCTCCACCATGAACTCTACCTTTCAACTTTCAAGATAAATTAACTCCAGTGGCCGGAACTCATCTTCACAACTAGTACACAGGCCATCATTTGATGAAGTTCCAATATGGTTTTGCTTAGCAAAAGCACAATCTATTGTCTAATGAAATTTCCTCTAGGGTTTGAATACAAGCTTCATACATAGCCATTAGAGGAGATAAACGTTTGCAGAGAGAGCTACAGATTGTGTTTTAAATTTTAGCTTACTGCCTTCATTGATCAGAGAAGCACTTTAGTCGCCAAGCTCTTCGCCGTCTTTCAATTCCTCAAACGGAGGGCTCAATAGCTTCATTTTTTGAACCAAATTACCAACGCACTCAGGCATCTTGCTGAGTTAACTCACTAACGAATCCTTATGATTGTCATTGTAACCAGTATGGATCACCAATTAGAGCTTTACGAAAGACCCACAAGAATTGAAGATTTTTAAGCAATTGAGGAAGACCCAGATGAGAGAATTGTTTGAATTTTGATGAGGTATTTTTACTAGACGAATCAACTCCCTAACTTGGGTATTGACAAACCCCTCTAAGAGACTGAAAACTACAAAACAATATAGGGTCTTGGGGGTAATTTCAGAAACCCAGATGAAAAAATTGGTTGATATTTCCGGTTGAGGTGAGAGAAAGTGAGGTATGAATGTACAGAAGAAGAAGGAAATGATTGGTTTTGGATAGTGGGTACAAACTGTGCTCTGGTATACGGAGGGTTTAGGTTAAAAATGAGTTAGTGTTGGGTGTTGTTTTGCCATAAAATTAGTTACTATTAGGTGGTGTTTGTAGTGAGATTTGGTGTGCTGTCGGACTTATATTGCTCAGGGATTTCATTTGACACGTCAGCAACAGACACTAACAAAGTAATAAACAGTGCCATTCTACTAAAGGGCAAATTGGTAATCTTTTATTTTCGTTAACGGCAACATAACACTATGTCCTTAAATGTAATTTTTTAATACTTCAAAGAGGCAATTATAGTATATGGAGAGTTTATGCAATTAGCTGATATTTTAAGGGAATTTTGTGCACTTTTCCCTATTATATATATATACACATATTAGTAAGGTTGATCATGGATGTGATCTTGTGACTATATGTATTTCAGATCGCTTTTATTGACATGTGGTTGATTATAATACGTCCAGTTGTAGACAACCAAGACCCAGAACCTCGTACGAAATACAGCGAGATCACAGGCTCACAGCATCTTAAAAAAGCTTATATTTATTAATAAACTAAAAATCACAGAGTTAATTAATTGGTATTATTAATACCAACTGAATAGTTAGATTTGTTTCTTTTCTCTTCTGTGGTTTTTTTTTGGTTAAATCTTCTGTGGTTGTTATGTCTTCCTCCTGCCTATAATAATGACACTTTTTTTCACTCCAACAACTGAACAGTGACACCTAATTCCCACAACGCCTGGGGCATCTTAGCACCGATCCCTCTTTGTCACATCTCTCTATATATAAGTAGCATAAAGCAGTTTCAAACTTTCAAGGGCTTCGGGAAGTTTCGTTTTGTCTCCCGAGTGGTCGCTTCAGAGGAGGATTCAACAGTGAGGTTTCGCGCGTTTTCGTTCGAGATCTCTTTACTTTGAGATTCGTTCTTCGATCGCTTAGATGATCAACACATAAAACAAGGTAATCAATGATTGCTTTGAGTCATTTAATTGTTTTTTTTTTTTTTTTTTGCATTTATATCTAATTGGAGTTGTTTTTTTAGATCTAAGATCAGTACTATATGCAGTTACTTTTTCTTTGCTGAGGACGATTTCGAGATTTTGCTGACTAGAATTTTGATTGTAAACTGTTTGGTTGCTGTAAAATTTATATAAAACTTGTGAAAATTAAGTACAGAATGGCATTCGTGATATTAAATCCGCATGTTGAAAAAGGAGTACTGTGGAAAAATAAATAAGGAAAACAGCTTGTATATAGGTTTTTATTAGGTGGAGACATTTGATTTTGGTTTTCTTCCCCTTGCTTATACGACTTTATTCAATGAAAACTCTAAGAACTATTTGGTTTAGTTATTGAAAACAGTTTTCAAGGACTCTGAAAATGAGAAAATTCAGTTTTTCAGTTATCTGAAAACAGAACAAGCGTATCAGAAAAAAGTGAACCAAACAGGTCCTGAAGTTTTGTACTTCAACCTAGTCCATTTTTCTATAATTTCTCAGCAGTCAAACAGGTAAAGAAATGTGTAAGATCCAAATTTTTAATGGTTGAGAATTTTATAGAAGGCTATATTTTATCAGCAATTAAGTAGAGCGAGTCAAAGTTGCAAAAAAATTGAAACCTAATGTTGTGGAATTCTGCATTGCATGCCCTTTTAATGATTTGGAATTAATGGTGTGGCAGATTCATTCGAAATCTCTCCAAGTTTGGTGATTTGGAGGGAGGGTAGGTTAAGCTGTGGCATGTTGGGAAATCTACGTGGTACATCCTCGATGTACAAGCGAATGTCATCGAGAGATTCTCCAACTTCAGTTGACGTAGAGGAAAATTCAGGTAAATCAATTTATGCTCAAAGCTATCCGGCCTAAGCGATAGAGAAATATATTTAATTTCAAATCATCAAGAACCCAGTATATATGTCTAGCCTAAGTTGGGTGCTAGACCCAACCTTTGACATAATTTTTCACAAAGTGGTCTTGCGTAGTACTAAATTTGTTTTTGTTAAGTTGGGTTTTGAAGTTCCACTATGACAATGGAGTCGAAGCAGATTTTGCAATTATGTATTCCTTGTACCCCTCCTTTTTGGGGTATTACATGTATTTTGTTGGGGCTCTCTAGTTTCTCTTTCAGTCATCTAAGCGTTGCGATGATAAAAAGGAATAAATAAAGAAACAAAAGCAAATTCCTTACATGCACCGGTGAATTTGACAATGAATTTTTTATCACTAGTGTTTAATTTGGTTGATTGAATGGTCTATTCTTTGTATGTATTTCAAATTGTGAATGGTAAAGAACATTTGATAATGTATCTGGACTGAGTTCTTGCGTATCTTTTAGCTTTTTTACAGAACGGTATGGGAGAAGAGAATACAAATCCTTCATGGAAACTTTCTTTTCCACATGTACTTGTGGCTACCACAGTTTCATTTTTATTCGGTTACCATCTTGGGTTTGTTCTCTATCCTGAAATTGCAACCTTAATTTTTTCTATTCCTTTTCATTTCTTTCAGAGTTCGTTCTTTATTTTTACATATTCATTAATTAGCAAGGAAGTTGAAGTCCTTATGGTTTATATTCTTTTATCTACAGTGTAGTTAATGAGCCACTGGAAAGTATTTCTATCGACCTTGGTTTCAATGGGAATACCTTGGCCGAAGGTAATATAAAAATTGGATATTTCATATGTATATATATTTACTTGAACTGATCTGATTTGTGTTCTCTGCATTTGAATCTTGATCTGAAAAAGTTGTCTATTTTTGTCAAATGAAGGTCTAGTGGTTAGCACGTGTTTGGGTGGTGCTCTTGTTGGATCTCTGTTCAGTGGTTTGGTTGCCGATGGGGTTGGGCGTCGCAGGACTTTTCAGTTGTGTGCTTTGCCTATGATTATAGGTGCTTCTATCAGGTAATATGTTTCATCAGTAACCATTGTTCATACTTATAGGCTGCTTTTTCTTAACACTCATTTATCTCTTTCCAAATAGCATTTAAAAGTTTTTTATGTGGCAAGCATGGGATTCATTATGTTGTGGCCCTAATGAAGGTCTAGGGTTTGGGGGCCGAAAATTGTAATCTCCTGTTTTTCGCATAACCGGCTGTTCGCCACGGAGTAGGCTTATGCTGAATTGCGGAAATCTTTGTGTTCTTTGTTTGTAGTGTGTTTACTTTTTATCACAATTCTTGTTTTGTTCGTGGGTCACTACATTTGGCTTAACAATAATGTTATCAGTTTTGTTCTTCTGGTCCATTTCAATATTCATTTTTGTTTTGTTTTGTTTTTTATTTTGGGGGTGTGGGGTGGGGGAAACACTCATATTTGGAGCTCGACTACTCCCTTCGGAACTACCCCCTAGCCACTTGTACTGAACATTCAGGTTTCTGTAACTCTTTGGAGGTGATGGTCGTTTTCTTTTTTGTTTTTGTTTCTGTTTTTCTCTGTTTGTTTGTTTGTTTTTTTGGGAGGTGGGGTTGGTCAGAAATCTATTTCTAGATCTGGTCTTTATTTATTTATTTTTAGTCATATGTTATGTATATTTAATATTATATAATGTCACCAGTCAGCTGTTTGACCTCATTAGCCGATTGATGCCCGATTGTCCAAATTTAGTTACATTGTTTTGTTCCTTGAGAAAATAAATCACATTATATCGGTTCACATTCTCCATTTGTCAGCACCACTGTTATCATCTTTAGCATCATCATCTTTAAGTTCAACGTGATGTTCCTCTAGTTCATTTTTATTTCTCTTGGAAGTCAGATTTGTCTTCCTCACATACATGTATTAGTTGTCCATTCCCAATTACTGATAGCACTTGGTTGTTCCATTTTTGTGCTATTAATATTTTATTGTGTCAGAAAATCTGCTTATTCAAGTTGAGCCCGTGTGATCTCTGCACTTTGAGAAGCTTTTTTATTTATTTATTTATTATTATTATTTTATTTAATTTTTATATGTATGTATAATCTTCAACCTGCTTCACATGTTATACCTTTTCTCTGAAGTAGATAGGACATTAGAATGAGTTCTCTTGCTTTGACTTGTAACCACTCCCCAAACCAAATTCTCTTCTAAACCCCTCCAATTTCTTTGGGTGGAGGGTAGTTTTGTTTGGGTGAAAATGCCATTTTGTGCACTCTCTAAAAGAATAATACATCTCTGGGTGAAATACCATCCAAATTCAATGGGAAATTCTTATGTTTTAGGCTGAAGAAACTACCGGGAAAAAAGAAGATGGACATTTCCCATTGTATGCCCCACCTAATTGGGATGCTTTTAGGGCAGGATTGGGGACAGACCTAATGTTTAGTATTATATTGCATAACACGGCTGCTCTCAAGTTTAAACCTGTGTCACTGTCAGTCCAAGCTTTTCCGAAGGACATGAGATTTGCTTGCAGCAAATATAAGGAAAATGATGTATTCCTCAAATTTAGTCCAATCCCCAAAAGTTATAATTATATAATTTGAGCACTTTTGTACTTTTCTATTTGACATGTGTTGTGCGTGAGTGTTATCTTTTTTATTTTTTATTTTTATTGTTTATATCTTCATTGTTACCTGTTTAAAAATTTCACATGTCCAATGTGCTCCGGTTCATTCTTCCAGCAACTTCTTTCTATTTCTATTTTCTTTTGTCATGTATGACAGCTTAGAGATCAGTTCTTAGCTTTTATTTATTTATTATTATTATTTTTAATGTAATGCTATCTGGAGTAGTTAGTGTCTTCTAGTCTTAAAATTATTAACACATGCATTTTCAGTGCAACAACCAACAATTTGGCTGGCATGCTTCTAGGGAGGTTTCTAGTTGGGACTGGATTGGGTCTAGGCCCACCTGTTGCATCTCTCTATGTTGCAGAGGTACAATGACTCTTATTTATTTATTTTTTTTCCCTCGTTGATTATATCGCGATATATGTAGGTTTGCAATACAGGGTTTGCTTTTCTCTCATGTAGTTTCTCTTTTATTCGTGATCAGGTTTCTCCTGCCTTTGTGAGGGGTACTTATGGAAGCTTCATTCAAATTGCAACATGTCTTGGACTAATGGGGGCTTTACTAATTGGAATCCCTGTCAAGGGTATTGCTGGCTGGTAAGAAAATGGAAGGATAAAATCTATAAAGAAAGAGGAAGAAAGAACAGAAAAAAATAAAAGGATGCAACAGTGTGCTTCACGAGGATTTTTATTTTGCTGATGTAGTTTGCATCTTGGAAAAAATATGGTTAATATTTAACTTTCTAAATATACTTCCTTGTGTATGTGCTTAGGTGGCGTATCTGTTTCTGGGTATCGACAGTTCCAGCTGCAATACTTGCTCTTGCCATGGCGTTCTGTGCAGAGAGTCCACATTGGCTATACAAGGTTTGGTGTCATCTTTATATGCCTACTGCATCTTGATATGATCGTTTTTCTTTTTCTTGGGGTGCAACTTTGTACCATTATTGCCTGCAGTCCTAAATGGCTGAAGTTCTTGATAAGATATATATATTTAATTTTTTAATATTTTATTTTAAAATGTTAAAAAGAATGAACTGAATTGTTTGAGAACTAAACTTGTTGAGCCCTTGATAAGGGAAGCAGATTCCTACTCATATTGTGTGAATAATCCTCTCCTTTAATATTATTGTTCTCTCATGATTGTACAATCTGCTTGCTAATGGTCTCTCCCATACCTCTTAACTAATTATCCTTGATCTCCTTGTAAATTCTGTCTCTGTCTCTCTCACACACACCACATTCTTCTTGACAATACTCCTGAATGCTAGGCAAACAACTGCTCTACTAAGCTTGACAAGTTTTTTAACCATTATTCATTCTCCGATTTTGAGTTGCCTACACTTTGCAATTCGCGCGGTCTTCTATCCGATTGTATTCTTGGTGATCTTTTTCGATATGCCTTTTGTTGATCTTCGTCGTGTAAGATTGTGTCCAACATTTTGCATCAACAGAAAATGCAGAAATCTTTAATGTTCTTTTGCTATTCATGATTTAGGGAAATTTTCATTCATTGTTTTGCAATTTTCTTTCATTGTTCATGAGTTATACGCTTTTGTTGATCTATATTTGATTTTTCTTTCATCAAGAAATGGCTTTTCTTTTCCTTGGAAAATTTTGCCGTCAATTCATTAACTAATGTGAAATCAAATTTCACAAGAAGTGGATTAAGTTTATTAGTCGCTATTGTAATATGCGCTTATGCAGAAGGTAAAATGCTGAGAAATTCTCATTGGTCTGATACAGCAAGGAAGAACTTCAGAAGCTGAAGCTGAATTTGAGAAGCTTCTGGGAGGATCTCATGTTGAATCTGCAATGGCAGAATTGTCTAAGACAGACAGAGGGGATGACACTGATACTGTAAAGTTTTCAGAATTGCTTTACGGTCGGCATTTCAGAGGTAAACTGTCTTTTCTCGTCTACATTCCTGAGGGCTATGTTACATGGAATCTTCTAAATGAGTGAAGCACCTCTATTGGATATGGGAATAGGAATATGTGATATGTATCTGACGTCTGGTCGGACGTGCAAGTAGCATGTACATTCGAAATGCAAGTTAATTATGTGAATGTACATAAAACTCTCTTATTATCTTCCTTACAACAACAACAACAACTAAACCTTTTTCCTAACTACTTGGGCTCGGCTCTCTTATTATCTTCTTTCTGTTGCGTTATTGTTTCCAAATGATTAAATTGTCCATGGTGAATGCTTTATGGTACATGAAAATATCATTTACCTTAGAAAAGAAAGAAAAGTATTAAAAATTATGATGTTTAGCCATGTTTGTGTCTCTCTGGATTTGGGGATTTAATGAATCTGATGGTTAGACACGTCTGATACCGAAGTCCATGTAACATAGCCTTAGGATTGATGGAGTATTTTTATTCTCTCCCCGTGTCTGCTGCCCTACTATACTGACTCCACTCTTGCTCTTACTACTGCTTCTCTTTCATTCTTCCTTTTCCCCCAAATTGTTTTGTATTCACTCGTCCCTTTTGCAGTTGTTTATATTGGGTCAACCCTATTTGCTTTACAACAGCTATCTGGAATAAATGCCGTGTTTTATTTCTCTTCAACTGTATTTAGAAGTGCGGGAGTATCATCCAATCTTGCAAACGTCTTTGTTGGAATTGCAAATTTATTAGGTAAGTTGCAAATTTATTAAGTGAAGGTTTGTTCCTCAGGTGCTCACTTGCATGTATCAGGTATCTTTCTTTTTTCTTTTTTTTTTCTTTTTCTTTCTTATTTTCCTTTTCTTACTGTGCCACAAATTTTATCCAGGATCTATTGTTGCATTAATTCTGATGGATAAACTAGGAAGGAAGGTCCTTCTGCTGTGGAGCTTCTTTGGCATGGTAAATAGTCTTCAGTTTTCTGGGAGATGATACCTATTTCTTATTATAATTGTAATTATGGTTTGAAGCTGCAAATCATACATCTGCCAAAGTGAAACTAAAAAGCATAACCGACATCATGCGTGCCCAGACATTAATAAGATCTTGTTATCATGCTTATTTCTCTGAAATTTATGCACATTGCGGCACTGATGTGTTTGCTACCAAAGAAAAATAGACCCGGGAATGGGCCAGAGGTTTCTCCTTGTTTGTTCTGGAACAAAACATAAACTTTTTTTAATGAAAGAACTTGTTAAATTGTCCTGAATGAGTAAGGAGGATTTTCTTATGTGGGAAGTCATTTTCTGGAGAACAGGCTTTCTATACTTGTTCCTTAGTATCATATATGATGCATTTCTTTCTTATCATCTTTGCCACATTTTTCATACACATCTCATTCAATTATATATAATTTTTGGGAAACGTATGACCTCACTTTTGGTATTTGCTTTGTGCATTCGATCTATTCAGGCAGTATCTATGGCCATTCAAATCACTGCAGCAAGTATTTCTGGAGCTTTGTACCTATCTGTTGGTGGCATGTTGCTGTAAGTTCTCTTTTGACTTGCAGTTGATGAATATTGAGGATGCATATTTTTATTTGGTGAATGTAGCAAAATGCAATTTTGGCTTGAATTGCTGTAATCCATAACTTCTATCCTCATCAGTATGGTGCATGATAAAATGAGGCGAAAGTTCATTTCATAGTGTCCATTCAACAGGATATATGTATATATCTATATGATTTGAGCATCCAAATGTATCTTTTGGCATAATGCGTTAGATGGTTAAAATATATGCTGATGTTGTAAAAGACGTTGCTTGAATTCTTGGAACTGATTTAGAATCTGATTACATGTTTGGTATTTCCCACATATATACATATCTCAAAAATAAATAATTCTAATTTGGACACAGGATTCTTTGGATACTTCTCTCCTTTTTTGGAGAATGTACATTGTGATGAGGCGTTTCCAGTGTATTACAGTAGTATAATCCTTGGGGAAATATAACAAGGGTTTTAAGACTTGGACTAATTTTAGAGAAGAATAATTGGGATATAACGAAAAAAATCATGTCATATTCAGAAGTCAACATCCATGACATATCTGCAAGTTTTTTGAACTTCAGTTGCATCTTTGATATGGTTGCCAGAATTAGTTGTTTGTTGATATATTGTGACAAACAATCATTTTGAAATTTGTATATACACATGTATTGAGTGTGTATATATAGTGATATCCTTGGTGTATTTTTTATCCTACTATCATTTTAGTTTGTTGGTGCATCATATGCCATCATGATAAATTTTTTAGAATCATTTGTAGGTACATGTAGAGCTTATTGGATTGACAACTTGAACTTCTTTGTGTAGGTTTGTCTTCACTTTTGCGGTAGGAGCTGGTCCGGTTCCTGGTCTCCTCCTACCAGAAATTTTCCCCAGCCGAATTAGGGCAAAAGCAATGGCATTTTGTATGTCAGTCCACTGGGTAGTAAACTTATCCCTTTCTTTCTTAAATTTATTCGTCATGAATCTTTCGTCTATTTATTATCAAGTGCAAGGCTTTGAAGTTCTGTTATAAAGCTTCATATGTATCTGGTTATGAAATTTTAAGAAATCCCCTTGACTGGTGTCTTTTGCCATCCCAAAGGGGAAGGTGCAGGGTTTAAGTCTCGGTTAGGATATGGAGGCGTGCAGTAGTTATCAAGAAATAAAATGATTTTGTTAGGAATGATTTGAGAAATAGAAAGGCATTGTGATATTTTTCTTGTTTTCATTTGGGTGTTTTGACTGGTTCTTTTTTCAGGTGTTCAATTTCTTAGTGGGTTTGCTGTTCTTGCGATTGCTCGAGCAACTTGGACCACAACTCCTTTATTCTATGTTCATGACCTTCTGCTTTATGGCAGTGGCTTTTGTGAGGAGGAATGTCATGGAAACTAAAGGAAAATCACTCCAAGAAATTGAGATAGCTCTTCTTCCACAGTAACATTAGGTTTTTCCTTTTTAGGATTTTCACTGGCAGAATCTGTTCTGGCCAAGTGTGGTCACAGGTTTAAGATATGTGTGTATGTTTTGTATTTTTGGTGCAGCAGCCATAGAGGTAAAACCTATTTATAGGGTCAGTTTTGTTGAAGAACGAAGTACTTAAGCCATTTCGGCTGGCATGACATATTCGTTCGTTTGCAAGGAGACTGCTAATTTAGGGAAAGCGCAGTGAGCTTTATTTAAGTTTTTAGTGGAGAGAGAGAGAGAGAGAGAGAGAGAGAGAGCATGGTTTCCCGTGGACAACAGATTTTAAAGCCAATGTATATTGGAGGGCATTTCATATGTAGAAAGCCAATGAATAGTAAGAGATTTCAGTATCTTAGTATGGTGAAGGTATAGTTGTTACCTACCATACGAGCTGTTGTTGTATTGGGATTTGTATGAAGTTAAATTTGGCCCATTTGCAATTGCCAACGTGGCATTACATGTATTTCTTGAATGCAGCATGCATATAATACAGTATACCATTGCATGTTATTCACTTGTGTCAAGGCGCAGGACCGATCTTATGTTATGTGTGGCTTATGTTTTGAATAATAGCTACCGATATGTAGGTGATTGGTTGACCTGGTTTAGTGTGCATTATGCTTGTGCCAATGTATTAGCCTCTTTATTTTGGGTAAATAATATATTAGCCATTTTGGCCAGTCAATATTGCAAAATTCGAGCCAATGTTGAATCCTTGATCTCTAAATACTTGTAGGGTTGACTATGGATTGGATTTAGTTTTGACATTAAATTTGATCGTTACGAATCGGTGAAAATTGAATCCAATTTGATTAGATTAGATTACATAGAATTGGAATTAGAATTTGAGAAAATTTTGTTTTATTTATTTGATTTTTTATTTTATTTATTTTTTTATTTGATTTTTTTTTTTTTTTTTTTCAATTCTAAAGCTCCAATTTCATACCACCAATATAGCCTAAGTTTTTTTACAAATTAGAATTCAATTCTAGGATTTGGAATTTTTTTTTTCTATCTAAAAACACAGTATTATTATCCTTTTACCGTAGATGAATGTTTAACTAACTCATTAAGCTAGTGACTGAGTGAGCAATCAATAATATTTGATTCACAAGAAATAATGAGGCTTTTCAACTATAATATAGTAATAAATAATAATAATAATAAAAAACTAACTATGATATAAATGTTTGATGCAAAGCTGCTAGGCTTAAATTAAAAGTTACCGTGGTGGGGCCATTCCCCCCATTCAACTCATTCAAGAATGAAGGTTTGGAGGACATTCTTTATACAGGTCATTTATATATGGCATGAGAAAAAAGACAACCCAAAATTTAACTTGTGCCCAAGATGAGATGATGAAGAGGGTAAAAAAAAAAAAAAATCTCATTTAATTAATTTAAAGGCCATCCTAAAACATGGAACAGTATACTCAAATGTTGTATGTATTCAGTACATCAGTTTAGGACATATATATTATGGAGGCATGATGTGCGTCATGGAAAGTTGAAAACATAAATCGGTGTGTGTTTTAGTGATTTAAGAACCCTTGATTTTGGGTATAAACCGTTGCTAACCCTGCATTTATAGAAATTGACAATGCCCTCAAAATTATTGCCACTCAAGTCCAAAACAAGGAGCATGGAGATATTGCCAATTGTAAATGGAATTGGCCCATTGAATTGGCTCCCACTGAGGTTGAAATGGGTGAGATATGGAAATGAAGTGAAATTGAATTGGGCAAGTGTTCCATTCAAATTTGAATTGAACAGGTTGATCTCGGATATTGTTTCAGTACTGTGACAGACAATGTCAGTCCAGTTGCAATGATTTTTTAGGTCAGTGACAGACCATGAAGTAATGGAATAATTAGAAGATAACAAGCTATTCTTCTGTTTTAAAAGAGCTTCTGCTTCTGTCCTTCCTGATGATATGATTGTAGATGGAAGTGAAGAGAAAACAAGAATAAGGAAAAGGAAAATGTAGTGCTTTTGTTGAGTTTACTCGTGGCTAGAGTAATCTTATTTGATGGAAAGAAGGTAGTTTGTGTACGACCTCCGAGGAAGGTTCTGGTCAATTTTCAGGCTTTAGAGTTGAGCATAGGGATTCTTGTTCAGTTGTTTATGTCTTGAAGTTGTATTTAGATTATTGCATGCAGTTATGGATATATGATGCTATTAATTCCATTATTAATTAATAATAATGTTAAACATAAAATTATCCTCTGAACTGAACACTCCAGCAGTGATGACCCCATTTTATCACAAGACTGATCCTGAAATAGGAGGCCCTATGGAGAAATATCACGTCAGCATTCAGTGTGTGTTTAAAAACAAACAATAACCAATCACACAACTATTCTCCAAGTAAAATTTTCTTTTTATTACCTATATAACTAAATCACTAACAAAAAAACCTTCACGCACACGCGAACTAATAATTTTAACAAATATCCAATTAATTGTCAAGTCCATTAAAAATTGATCTTAAGCTAACACTCACTATTACATGCCCATTATAAAACCCTCTACAGTAAAAAGACTTGGCACAAACAAGAGATATTGCCAAGTTTATCAAGATGCCAGACAAACAACAAAATAAAATAATGGTACCACAGTTTTGACATTTGAATTTAAAAAAAAAAAAAATCAATTTAGTAAGTCAAAAAACCATACCAATGATGTTAGTAAGAGACCTAACAATGAACCACTCTTTCATGCTATAGAACTTTCGGATGGTTGCAGATTACTTATTCTTATTCATTACAGAGAAAATTACTTTTAGCATAAGATGGACCAACTGATATGATCAAAGGCCCAATACAAAGCTATCTAAACAAAAATTGAACTTGGCCATTATTCTTCCCTTCAATTAAACACTACTAGGTTTTTTTTTTTTTACAAAATCTTCATAAATCGCATTTCCATCAAGTCATTAGAGTTTTTCAATGAGACACCAGGGTTTCTTACAGCTCGCTCAATAACAGGACAGCAACATTTGTTCTATTAGTGATCAAATACAAGAAGAGAAGAACAAAGAAGCAAAATTCAGAATGTAACAAAATTGAAAAAAACAATAAAAAAGGGGACAAAATTTTATGAAGAAAATGGATGGCCTTTACTGCTCTTACAATCGCTTCCATTTACAGTCCAAATAGCGGCCAAGTCAATCCCCAGTGCAATCATGCAAAGATGAGTTCATTTGTGTACAGTAAGACACTATAATTTTATTATACATAAAGATCCAATCAGAACAGGCAATAATTTAATCTCCAAAAGTTCCACACGCACATGAAAAATTTATTTGCATTAATCAAAATCAAAACATATTGCAGCATAATTATTTGTAAGAGCTGAAGATACAGCAAGATGATATGCCACAATTGAGTTATCAATCTTGCAACAAGTAGAATATACCGATCAAGAAATTAAACTCAAAAGGAATAAAGTTGAAATATATAGATAAAAACTTAATAGGCAGGAAAAACAATCATCAGTACCTTCAAAGATTATTAACCAATCAAATGCGAGTTATCCCCTTCTTGATTGCTAATGCGAAGGAGGTAAATTGATTTATTGATAGAAGATATCCTGCAGATACTCTCATTGCTTTGGGTCTACCATAACCCACAGAATAAGCATCACCCAAGAATGATGGAGATGACGTGTAAGGCTGGAGCCGATGTTTAAAAATGAAGTGTCCATCTGAGAGGAATGTTTGAACGGACCTCAATCGACTTATTCCGTTTGGAACTATGTTAAAAAATACAGAAAAAATTTAGTTATTAAAGCCGCAAGGTGCACTAAAGCGCCAAAGGTCCTCTGGAGCCCAAGTACAGTGTGCAATATGAAAAAATCAAATGTACATTTGGAACAATTCAAGATATGCAAAACAATTAATATAAAAATCTCTAAAAATGAGATTCTTGATATATCAAACTAAGAGGATTAGGTAAATTGATGTGCATAAATCCTTTCATCAGCATACATCATCATCATTGCCTTTATCTTAATCCCATATGGGTGAGTTAGCCACACGAATTCTCTTTTTTCATTTTTTCCCTTTATACACACCATGCCTTCTCCTAATTTTTTTGAAATCGTTTTTAATTACTTCATCTCACGTAAGCTTTGGTCGGCCTCATTGTCGATTGCCTTGGAGGAAAACAACTCTTCCTCTTTTAATAGATGCATCATCGAGTCTACGTTGAATATAGCCATACTACCTATGTCTAATTTCCTTAATTTTATTATTTATAGGCGCTATAACTAATGTACCCCTTACACATTCATATTTATCTGTCTCTTCTAATTACTCCTATCATCCAACGTAGCATCCTCATGTGAGAAAACACCAAAGACTACGTGAATAAATGCATAACAATATGGAGTTACTACAGCATTAGTTCTTTCATATTAAATACTATTCAGGGTTCTTCAAATATCATCTATTCCAAACAAAGAACGAGTGTTTGCAAGGTTGGGAGGAATGAAGCGTGGATGAGAGAGATCTGAGTTGCTCGCGTATCTATAAAAATAATTCCTAATAGTGCACCAAAAGATGCATCTACCATCACCAATGAGAAAAACATTAAGAAGGACATATTACTGCTATTTTTCTAACCTTATCCTTGGGAAAACTGCCAGACAGTGAGTCAAGTGGCATGTAGAGATCCTTTGAATGAGACCCAAATTTTGTTCTCCCTTCGGTGTAAAAGAAAACATAACAAAATTAGACGAGTGTAATGGGAAAAAAATTCTGAAAAATAAGATTTTCTTTGAAGCATGAGAAACTTGAAGCAGAATTCAACCAATCACCTAATACTTTCGTTGCCACATTGATGTCTTCACTTTCACTATTATATTTTAATGAAAAAAAAAGAAGCAAGCATTAGAATACTGAATTAAACAAAGGAAATAGAAATCACAGTCAAATCACCTAAAGAAACAAAGATAGGAAGATACAAAATTTTCATTGGTCAATTAAACAAAGTAATTAGGAACCAAACCAGTCTATGTCACTTCAATCAAGGTCTTCGTCCTTCAAAACAAACCCGGAACTCTCAAGCAGCTCCTTAATGTCATTGACCACCTTTTCTTTTGGCACCTATAAGGAAACAGGAGGGGGAATAACTTTGCGAAAGAGTTGGGTCAAAACTCAAAATCATGAGTCTGGAAATAATATGGGTTGAAAGATTATCATTTCAATTTCAAGGAAGAAAGAAAGAAAAAACAACTAGCACTCAAACGTAAAAGTTAAAAATAAGTAAAGATATCATCATAATCAAATAAATCTCTGCACAATTTCAGGGAAAAAAAAAAAGTTCAAGTCATGCCGCAACCAATATGAGAATTACGATAAATTGCAAGAAACAAGCACAAAAACCATTAAAAAAAACATAGATCATGACAACTTACTTCATTTTGTACTGACTGCCTGTATTTTTCAACAGCAGCACCAACCTTCTCAAACACTTTGAGCAACAGCAATCCCTGCGTCATCACTGCCTTAATATCCTTCAGCTGCCAAACCAACTTACCATTCTCATGACTTCCGATCAATTTGATTTTATCATCCATTAGTGATTCAATCTCTTCATTGATGCTTTTGCAGATTGACATGCTTCCATTTATATTAGGACCATCTTTGCTTTCAAACATGCTCAGAGGCTTTATCTTTTCTCGAGCAACCATCAGCATAGTAGCCATCTCAATAAGTTTTCCCCCCATAGCATAATGGTTGAATACTTTATCAACCTCGTTTGTTCTCAATGCAAGCAACCTATTAATTTCTAATGGCACTTTCTGCCACCAGCATTGTTTGAACATAATAAGCAATGAAAGAAAGAATATCAGGCCTTTAAACCTACTCACACATATAGAACTAAACAGTATATGTAATACACAAAAAATTCATTTCAACAAACCATCTGAGGCAGGCAGAGAACAATGATCAACTTGAAGATAGATTGTTCTGGAGTCCAATCAATCAAGTATCGATGGTAACTGCATCAGCCACATAAAAAATCCAATCGAGCAAAAAGGAAAAGAAGTAACTAAGAACGTATTAAGCCTTGATCTAAGTTTATATCATGGTCCCCATGAAAGAACCAAGAAACAAAAAATTTATGTTATAGCATCTTCTACCTTACTGTTTCAAGCGACACGTTGAGTGGAAACAAGTTGCCCCTCAACCGACCTTCTATGGTTCTGACATCAGTCCGAGCTCCGTGGAAAAGTAACAACTCGACCATTTCATATGAAAAAAAAATTAGCCGCTAAATGTAATGGATATAATCCATTTACAAAGGGAACATTAAGATCCGTGATGAAACCAGTCTCTCCTTGGAAAAAAGAGATGGCACAATCTAAGGCTCCATACTGACAAATCATATCCAAAATCAGTGGTGGGCAATATTTAGCTTCATTACTATCTAATTCCTCCTTTCCAACTTTTCCTGTTTCTGAAATTATTTCGTCTCGATAAAGAAGCTCCATAAGAGAGAGAAATTCAGGTTTCTTGTCAGAAATAACAACATCTGCCATTTTTTTAATCAAATCAACATCAAAACGTTCCTCAAGATGAGCATATCCCATCTGTCATTAATTGAACAACACTAACATCAGCACACGCGAAGATGACCAAAAAGATAATAGCACAGATCAATTAAATTTTCAGAATTTTTTTTCTTCTATAAGTGCAGATACAGCTTAAAAGAAAAGTAAACAATATGGAAGAATGTGGATAATATTAACAGTAAAATAGTACTCGTAATGAGGGGGAAAAGCGAGGAAATACAATAAAGTGAATCAGTAGTAATGATGCGAAGCTCCCATGTAAACCACTTTGTTGGGCCAAGTGGAATGCAGTCAAGATTTAACAAATGCACAGACAGTCAGACAAGTATGAAAAAGGAGTGTGAATACATTCAAGTTTAAATAGATACCTCAGACATCTTTTGCTTCAATTACAGTAGCTACACTCTGGACTCCTTACAAGACGCTCTGTTGTAAGAATAAACTACATAAACAGAAAAACACATCTTTTGAAAGTTTTTCAAATAAACAACTAAATCGCAATAGAGTGGGCATTCACATTATATATTTCAATTTAGTTTACAGTGCAAAATAACTACTTGAAAATAGAATCCCAACATTCAACGCATACACAAAAGGGTGTGTGCATGTGTGTATAAAATAATAAAATTAGCTCACATATCAACAAAATTGTGTTTAGATGTACTTACATTCTTACGTGTATGCAAATAAATATACTCCACAAACACAATTATAGGTGTGAGTGTAGATGCATGCACACGCAATACACTTTTGGACAGACTAGTGCATACAGATGCATGGTGCCCTGTGCACATGCATGAAGATGATGTTAAATTTTCGTTTTTGATGCATGCTTATAGGTGTGAGTGTACTCACTCCTGTTAAAGCTACATACGGAAGAAGATGTTTGAAGCCCTTTGAAGTTTTGAAGTATTATCCATTGACTTGGCACTTGTTCAGTCGCGAGAACAGAACAAAATTTTGAGCCCTAATTCTTGTATTCTATGGAAACAACTTCAAGTATCCCGTGATTAGGGATGGCAACCCCGCCCCCGCTGGCTGACGGTGAGGCCGTGACTCGGAACTCGCAAGGGAGTGTGGGAGTGCTCGATCAGTTTTTATACGCATGGATGGGAACAATTTCATTGAATAGTGTATATTTGTTAGAGCGTCAAGATAGCCAAGATCGTTGATTCCCTTGTGGGAGTTCATGGTTTTGGGGTGGACGACAGCACCGTCGTCAGAGGCGGAGAAGTGGTTGCGGGGGAAGGAGAGGGATGGCGGGGTGCAGAAGGAGAGGGCTGTGACAGTGGAGGAATGTTCGGTGAGGTTGCCGATCTCGAGGAGGTTGAGAGGTCTTAGATCTTGATGGTGTCGGCGCCACCGGAGACGGCAAGCGCTTGAATGAACCGGCCACCAAACTCAGCTTCCGTTTATCTCTCTTTAATTGATTATCTTGCCTAAGCATCTTCCCACTTCAAATAATGGGAACAATGTATTTTCCATCACACCATAATGTTCTATTTTTCTCATTTTATAAAATTTCAAATACAACCACTTATGCTGGAGCTCGTGCTCATGAAGGTTTTGGCTTCATCATACCTTCAATCCAAGAATATGTGTTTTTTTTCCTTCAATTTTATGATCTGTTTTCTCTTCTGCTTTTGATTTTGCTGAATCAGAGAGAGACCAAGAATAAGAGAGGAAGGAGAGAGAAAGGGTGAAGAAGAGGAGAGAGAAATCGAAGAGAGGCCGTTAAATTGATATTCTGGCATAGCCACGTAGGAGTCGGATGAAAACTCGGACATTTTAATCGGACGTTGTATCACCGCTCTAGTTAAAAATGAAATCAATGCCAAAACTATGGAGGTTCTCTCAAATTTAGGGCTTTTAATTTTTTATTTTTAGTTCAAACATTTTATGTGAGTGATGTCAACATCATATGGAGCTCACCCCTCCTAATTTAGTCCACTACTCTTTAATTTATGGCCCCCAAAAGGAGCTACGAAATCTCCTTTTTTACGTCCCATGTCCCCCGTGTGGCGGCATGGGGACAGAAAAAAAAAAGAGGGATGAAATTTTTCTTGTTTTTGGCATACGGCTCCGGTTGGAGGCATAATTTCGTCCCCTATTCTTTAATTTATGAAAAAATACCTGTAGTAAATTGTTAGATTTCTCACTTAATTATATTTGATATAAATAATTAATTAAAAATTATTAAATTAGACAATTTACTGAATTATTATTAATCGATGTCTCACTTAATTATATTTGATATAAATAATTAATTAAAAATTATTAAGTTAGATAATTTACTGAATTATTATTAATCGATGTGAATATTGCTGCCCTAAATTATGTGAGTGATGTCACCTTGACGTCATCTAATGCAGCTCACCGCCCCCCGATCATTCCGTCCTAAATCAGTGCCCTTTATTAGGTTTTGGATCAAAAGTCAAAGTCGAAGAATACTCTGTGTTTGGATTTGGATCAAAAGTCGAAGTGATAAGGTTGGCAGAGTTTTGGAGATTTCTTGATTCCACATCTGGAATAAGAACATATTCGTTAACTGCAGGAGACGGTCATGCCCTTAAATGCATGTTTCATAGGGCTAAAGAGAAAGCCAAAAAACAGATCTTTCGCGAATGTTATCAGTTTTGATACGTAGACCAAATAATACAATGCAAGCAAAAGTTCCTAGAATCATGGAGATATAGAACAACATATAAGTTATCATGCTTGCATATCCATCATTTGAGTCTCCAACAATTATTCCAATAATTACATATCCAATTTGACCGAGGTGAGTTGTAGTTTAGGGAGTTTGTTGCAACTCTCTTAGTTATTTTTTTTAGGCCATTAACCTAATCAATATATAACATGTGAAGAGAGCACTCAATGTTTGATTTTTCAAAACTAAATGTTACAAAGTATTTCACATACAAAGTATGATATTTTAATGTATTTCAAGCGGCACTTTCCATTGCTAAGATCAGACTTCTCCAAAAATTGTGGACCGTCAAAACCTCCATGCACGTTGAGCTCAAGGAAACCGGATTGAGAAACCAGTATCAGTGGTGGTAACCTTGACAGAGCCAAAATCCTCGAAATCAGAATCTGAATCCATGTACCTGCAATCACCGCACCACTCACCGGGAGAACCCTCATCCTGAGCACTGTGCGTAGAAGGAACCCTTAGCTCAGATAAGGGAACTGGAACAGGTTCTTCAGTTAAATACTTGTCATGGAGTAGTTCCATTGCAGTAGCTCTACCTGCTGGGTCAAAACGAAGAAGTTTTCTGATTAAATGGATTTCATCAGGGGACCTGTTGGGCAGGTATGCTTCTAAACCAATTGGATTTTCTATCTTACCGAATGAAATTATTCTGTAATCAGGAAGTTCCAAACAAGCAGGCCAAACTTCCTCAGTTAAGTTGCCCAAAACACTAAAAATTCTGCTTAGCTGATCAATATCGGAAGTTCCAGGGAAAAGGGGCTCTAAACTGTAAAGCTCTGCGAAAATGCAGCCCAACGACCACAGGTCAATTTCTGTCCCATAGTTTGTTGATCCATACAGCAGCTCTGGGGCCCTGAACCAACGAGTTCCAACACAGGATGTGAGGGGACAACATTGCCCATTTCCACCCTCGTCAACCTCGTAAGAATAAGAACCCCTCAAAGGTTCGTCTTCCATATCACTTGTTGTGCATGTAGCAAGACAAGATGTATCTCCATCACGAGTATTGCATTCTTTATCAGTTGCATCCACAGAGTCTTTAGCCCCAAGCTTGCCTAACTCTCTAGGATATTCTTCTTTACCTGTGGCTCCTTGATCTCGATTCCTATGAACTTCTCTTAGGCAGGCACTATCTGTTTCAGGAATGACTTCATTTTGTTCAACTACACCGGCCTCATGTGGGTGTGTATTGTCACAAACGGCAACAAATCCAGGTTCTAGAAGTATCCTTGCCTGTAAGGAAACAATCACGCCAAATATATTCAGTTCTGAACAAATAATGTAGAAACAAAATTCATTCTTGGGATTTGTTTCCAGTCTCCACTCTAATCAAGCAAAGAAAGGAGTTCCCTCATTTATCCATTCGATAATTTCATAACTCCCATTTACTGAGAACTAACAAAAATTTTCTCCAAGTTATCAAGGACTTTCATTGCTAAGTTTGAAGGGAAGATCCATAATTTACGCCAATTAAATTAGATGGATTATTCATACAATAAACATCAATAATCGTTATGGGAACTATGTTTATCAAGGTTTATATTGAGAGATATATTAATTTATAGGTCATCCGAAACCGGTATCATCTTCACCCTTCAACATTATTTAATAAGTAATAGCAATGATAGGTCCTCTGGTTTCCTCTGAAACCAGAGGATCGAAAGCCAGCAAGGATGGGGTCATGTGAATCCCACTTCAAGCATCCGGCAGAAGCTGCGGGATGCCTAGGTTAGAATGAGAGATATAATTGCTTTTGAGAAAAAAAATATATTAACTTAAATTTTCAAGTTCAATCTGAAATCACTTCTTGGTCAGTTTGTACAAATAAAATTCGTTTTCAATAATCCTATAGTCTAAGTTGTGAGGTGAGAAAGCACCACTCTATCACTAAAATTAGCCCCTAAACATGCTATGGCGCAAAACTAAACGTTTTTATTCGCTTGTTTTTATCTTTTCCAACTCAAAATCTAATTTATTCCACCTAAAGTGGGCTTCTACACATGCTATATATAAAAATATATGAACAAAACGCCATAATGTGTTAATGCACAAGAGTGTATATTTATATACAATCACGATTATATATAAAGAAGAGCTTGAAGATCATCACCTGTCCGAAATCAGCCAACTTGAGAACACCATCTGCCGATATCAACAGATTCGAGGGTTTCAAATCCCGATGCACGATCGAATTCCGATGACACGCGTCGACTCCACACAAAATCTGAACGATCCACTGTTTGATTTCGCCGACGGTGATCCCACCCTCCCACTCCCTCTTGGCGGTCCTGATCACCGACGCCAGATCGGTCGGCAGGAACTCGAGGACGAGCACCGCGTCCTCATCTTCGCGCCAGAAGTATTCGAGCAAAACGACGACATTAGGGGTGTTGTGGAGGGTCTGGAGGGCCTCGATTTCCCGGAAAGCGGACTGGTAGTCATGAACCTCCTTGAGGGCGACTATGAGTGAATCGGAGCGACGGCGAGCTCTGTAGACGTCGGAGTACGCGCCCGACCCCACTCGCTCTAAGATCTCGTATTTGTCGGTGATCTCACGGCGAGTGTGTATGCTCCAGCTCTTCGACGGTGGTGGATCCATTTACATTTGCTGATCAATTTGGGAGGTAGAGAAAGGGTCAGAAATGGTGATAGTGGTATTCTAGGGTTTAGGGTTTGTCTGATTGTTTACTGAGAAGAAAAGGACGTGATTCTGCTTAAATGACCGATATACCATTCTAATCCCACTAGCCAAGTGGCCAGATTTTTTATTTTTTTCCCAAATTCCGTGCTACTACCCTTTGTTCTGTTCCATTCCACTTTATTTTTTTCCTTCTAATGTTTCTAAAAATAATAATAATAAAATAAAATAACTTAATTTTTCTTAAACACTCACATTTTACAATTATCTCGAGTTCTCAACTATTGTTTTTTTTTTTAAAAAAAAAATTCCTTTTTAATTTTTTTGCCTCACTTACTTATATATAAGTAATGTTTACTCATTTTACATTTGTGCTTAGTACCAGAACATAGATGAAGAACTTAACTGCTTGGCTGAACTTATTAAATTTACCTATTTTAATTAAATTTAATGTGTTAAAAAATATAAATAAATGTGTTAAAAAATAAAATCAATGTGTTAGAGAAATTACACCACCACTACAGCAGAGAATTAGAAGCAAAGAGAGGAAAAAGAATTAGAAAGTGGTTATCTAGTGCCAACTTCACCAAAAAGTTTTCCATCCGAGGGTTCAACAAACCCTGTCCATAAATTCAACTTTTGGAATATGTAACAAGAATCCTAAAATCTTTAAAACCAGATCTTCTGTTTATTGTGTACTTTGTTGGCCAACAACAGACTGTGTGGGAAACTATTGATTACTGATTTTATGATTGTAACTTGTAATTGTTTGGGTTGGATTAAATTGTAGTTCTTTGCTTTCTTTGTAGCCTGCCACTACCAGAGGCTTCAAACGGCCGCGCGGGGATTTTGAGGTTGAAAGAGTCAAAATTATAAATAATATTATTAAGAGAGGAAAAAAAAAAAAGAAATTTGAGATTAACCTGGATTACAGTATGCATAAAAATCATCTATGTTGATGAGAAAAAAGTGATTCTTTTAGGTCAAATCATGGATGTGTGCAGTGAAATAACTCAATAAGGGAATTTATTTATTTATTTATTTTTATTTTTTTCAGAGATACATTAAAATAAGGAATTGTAAGGATATAATTTTCTTTCTTTGTGTGTATAACTTGTCTCTCTAGACTCTCTAGAGAAAAACGGCCAAAATAAATTTAAGTAGGGAACAATAGAAAACAAAAAAGGTCAAAAGTGTGGATGAAAATCATTAAAAAAAAAACAAAAAAACGTTATAATAAATAAATAATTTAGAAAAATCATAAAATGTTAATGGCTTACGCATAATATATAAACTAATTTAGATTAGAGTAGTGTTATTTCGCCCGATAAATACAAAACCATACTTCACCGACTTACAGTGTAAAAATAGGTAATTTAAAACCAAAATGTAAAATGCCTTTAAAAAAAGAAACTCTCCAAAAATAAATTAACAAAAATAATTCTCTTAAGTTGCCTATAAGAAAAAAATAAATTAATTAAAAAAAACAACAATTGAAAATTTAACAAAACAATAATTAGGACAAAAAAAAAACACAAAAAAAATTAATAAAATAAGAATTTAGATTCTTCAATCTTCAATTTTTGTTGATATTCAAAACTTCAAATGAAATTTTTGTTTTAGATTTTATAAAATTATTTTCTTATAGAATTCTTATAAAAACATTCCAATAAAAATAAATAAAAAGTGATGGAAAGTCATGTATGAGACGAAATTTAAAATAATAAGGTTATTAAAAAAATCGTGCTTGAGTTGAATGAATTTTTAAATAATCACATTATGAAAAGAACTATGTTTAAGCTTAAAATTTTAAGATAAACATTATTAAATTATTTTCCATTATATATAAACTATCTTTTGTTAAATGCTAATTAAAGAAAAAAAATTTATTTTTTCTTGGGAGGCCTAGTATAGATTTTATACCATAGGTATACTATTTTTACTTTTTACCTATACAAAAATAAATAAATCAAAAACAAAAAAATCAAAAAATCAGGGGGGCCCATGGCCACCCCCAGCCCCCTTCCCTCCGCCCCCTGCTTCAAAGTACTAGTTGCAAATTGCCTTTCCTAAAAATTTCTCCACTGTGAACAAAGAACCCCCAATGTCAGAGATCAATCAAGCGCATTCTAAGACTTAAAAAACTTGGAATTCTTATACGTCAAACGGTAACAAGTATAACGACCCATGAATTTCTTAAACAAGAAGAATTCAGAATATTTCTTCAAAGCTTACAAAAGAATTAGAGAATCGGATGAAGAACATAAATCACAGTGCAGAAAAATGAAATCAACACAATTCTATGCTCTTCTTCTGGTCAGTCTGTAGAACAAAATTCTCTAGATCATCAAACCATGTCGCTGCAGCTATAATACATGCATAGCCATATAGATAGGTGAATTCAAACCGTCAACAATCCAGCACTTGTTGAGCACCAAAAGCACTTGCAAAATGATCAGAAGTGGCGATTCTGATCAGCTATGGTGTTAGGGACGTCCTGAACAACACAACCTCCACATACCACGCCCCTCCTGAAATAAAATAAAAAAATACTTCTATGTTTAGCACACAATAGTAGAATGTCAGTGCATATCACTGTCGAAGTGATAGGTTGTATTATTTGCTACTGTGTGAATTGTGACCTGAAAATGATGGGAATGAGCTAGACAGCCTAGTAGGAAAAGAAACAATCAACAAACAAGAGATTTTGCCGTTTATCAAGATGCCAAACAAGCAACAAAATAAATAATGGTGCCACAGATTTGACATTTGAATTTTTTTTTTTTTTTAAAAAAAAAAATTCAATTTAGTAAAGTCAAAAAACCATACCAATGATGTTACTAAGAGACCCAACAATGAACCACTCATTCATGCCATGGAGATGGAACTTTCAGATGGTTGCAGATTCCTTATTCTTATTCATCACGGAGAAAATTACTTTCAGCATAAGATGGACCAACTGATATGATCAAATGCCCAATACAAAGCTATCTAAAGATAAAAATTTGAACCTGGCCATTATTCTTCAATTCAATTAAACACTACTAGGATTTTTTTTTTATTTTTTTTATTTTTTAACAAAATCTTCATAAATCGCATTTCCATTAAGTCATTAGAGGTTTTCAATGAAACACGAGGGTTTCTTACAGCTCGCTCAATAACCGGACAGCAACATTTGTTCCATTACTGATCAAATACAAGAAGAGAAGAACAAAGAAGCAAAATACAAAATGTAACAAAATTGAAAAAAAAAATAAAAAGGGGGACAAAATTTTATGAAGAAAATGCATGGCCTTTACTGCTCTTACAATCGCTTCCATTTACAGTCCAAATAGCGGCCAAGTCAATCCCGAATGCAATCATACAAAGATGAGTTCAATTGTGTACAGTAAGACACTATAATTTTATTATACATAAAGATCCAATCAGAACAGGCAATAATTTAATCTCCAAAAGTTCCACACGCACATGAAAAAATTATTTGCATTAATCAAAATCAAAACATATTGCACCATAATTATTTGTAAGCGCTGAAGATACAGCAAGATGATATGCCACAATTGAGTTATCAATCTTGCAACAAGTAGAATATACTGATTAAGAAATTAAACTCAAGGAATAAAGTTGAAATATATAGATAAAGACTTAAAAGGCAGGAAAAGCAATCATCAGTACCTTCAAAGATTATTAAACAATCAAATGCGAGTTATCCCTTTCTTGATTGCTAATGTGAAGGAGGTAAATTGATTTATTGATAGAAGATATCCTCCAGACACTCTCATTGCTTTGGGTCTACCAGAACCCACAGAATAAGCATCACCCAAGAATGATGGAGATGACGTGTAAGGCTGGAGCGGATGTTGAAAAACGAAGTGTCCATCTGAGAGGAATGTTTGAACAGACCTCAATCGCCTTATTCCGTTTGGAACTGAACTCTGTTAAAAAATACAGAAAAAATTTAGTTATTAAAGCCTCAAGGTGCACTAATGCGCCAAAGGTCCTCTGGAGCCCAAGTACACTGTGCAATATGAAAAAATCAAAAGTACATTTGGAACAATTCAAGATATGCAAAACAATTAATATAAAAATCTCTAAAAATGAGATTCTTGATATATCAAACTAAGAGGATTAGGTAAATTGATGTGCATAAATCCTTTCATCGGCATACATCATCATCATTGCCTTTATCTTAATCCCATATGGGTGAGTTGGCCACATGAATTCTCTTTTTTCATTCTTTCCCTTTATACACCATGCCTTCTCCTAATTTTTTTGAAATCGTTTTTAATTCCTTCATCTCACGTAAGCTTTGGTCGGCCTCATTGTCGATTGCTATGGAGGAAAACAACTCTTCCTCTTTTAATAGATGCATCATCGAGTCTACGTTGAATATAGCCATACCACCTATGTCTAATTTCCCTAATTTTATTTTTTATAGGCACTATAACTAATGTACCCCTTACACATTCATATTTATCTATCTCTTCTAGTTACTCCTATCATCCGACATAGCATCCTCATGTGAGAAAACACAAAAGACTGAATAAATGCATAACAATATGGAGTTACTACAGCATTAGCTCTTTCATATTAAATACTATTCAGGGTTCTTCAAATATCATCTACTCCAAACAAAGAACGAGTGTCTGCAAGGTTGGGAGGAATGAAGCGTGGATGAGAGAGATATGAGTTGCTCGCGTATCTATAAATATAATTCCTAATAGTGCACCAAAAGATGCATCTACCATCACCAATGAGAAAAACATTAAGGACATATTACTGCTATTTTTCTAACCTTATCCTTGGGAAAACTGCTAGACAGTGAGTCAAGTGGCATGTAGAGATCCTTTGAATGAGACCCAAATGTTGTTCTCCCTTTGGTGTAAAAGAAAACATAACAAAATTAGACAAGTGTAATGGGAAAAAAATTCTGAAAGAAGGAATAAAAAAGTTGAAATAAAAATAGATATCATACCCATGCTTGATTCTGAAGTTGGAGTCATCTGGGTGACTTCCCCCATTAATAGCAACAATAGATATCATACCCATGCTTGATTCTGAAGTTGGAGTCATTTGGGTGACTTCCCCATTAATAGCAACAATCGCACCGCATTCAAGGAGTTAGATTCCAAGATAACATGTTCGTAATTCAACCACTTGGCATGCATCGTGCTGTGGTTTTGGAGCATCCTACTACGATTTCATGGGTTGCTTGGTTGATAAAAAATATTGGTCGATGAGGGGTGTTCATTCAGCGTACGAGGCTGAATTATATGCAGTATACCATGGCCTTCTATATGCCAAGTGGTTGAATTACGAACATGTTATCTTGGAATCTGACCCCTTGAATGCGGTTGTTGCTATTAATGGGGGAAGTCACCCCAATGACTCCAACTTCAGAATCAAGCATAGGTATGATATCTATTTTTATTTCAACTTTTTTATTCCTTCTAACTGTTTGAAACTGATGAATGAATTACTTTGTAGCAAAGTAAAAGAATTGAAGAATTCTTTCAAATCCTGTGTTGTGAGGCACGTCTACCGAGAAGTGAACAATTTGGCTGGAATAAAAAAGTTGAAATAAAAATAGAAATCATACCTATGCTTGATTATGAAGTTGGAGTCATTTGGGTGACTTCCCCCATTAACTGCAACAACCGCATTCAAGGGTCAGATTCCAAGATAACATGTTCGTAATTCAACCACTTGGCATATAGAAGGACATGGTATACTGCATATAATTCAGCCTCGTACGCTGAATGAACACCCCTCATCGACCAATATTTTTTATTAACCAAGCAACCCATGAAATTGCGGTAGGATGCTCCAAAACCAGCACGGTGCATCCCATGCACGTAGGACGCATCAACATTAATTTTTATGGTTCTCTCCAGAGGGGGTTATTATGGGTCGTTTCAGAAGAGTGTCGCAAGAAAATTCTACGACAAATGATTTCACATCCTTCTGCTGCTGCTTCCTATTGTCAAAGAATTGAAAAACCTTGTCCGTCTCTCGCACGTCAAAATTTATTCAACAACCTGACAAAATCAGGAACTGATGCATAATTGTTATTTCTATTCACTACACCCCAAGCTCGAAGATCGCCATAGTCTTCACATAAAAAACATTTCAAATCAAGCAATTTTTGCTTGAGTTGTAGAGGAAAAAGCTTGCTTCGGTCAAAAAAGCTGCCATCACCGTGATAACATTTCGCAATCAAAAGCTGCATTAACAAACAGATTCAAAGAAATTAAGCAAAAGCAAATCATAAAACAGAACATAACCATACTCCACATTAAATAATTAAGCAGAATAGTGATATGTCAAGCAACTAACTCCATCTAAATGAAACACAAGGTACCTGTGTTAACATAGGAGAAACAGCAAAAGAAAATCCTGAGGATGGATTTCCAAAACCAGACCACCTTTGAGAACCATTCAGCAATGGTATGTTAAAACAGGTTTTAATTTGTTGACCCGCGGTCTCATCTGAGTTGGAATAGAAAGTCATTTACCCTGGCAACGACAGCAAATATCCAAATACAGAATGCCAAAAAAAATTGAAAAGCATTTTTGAGAAGAAGTAAGCAGCATTGGTTTGTTAGAACAGGTTTCTACTTGACATTTCACCTAGCTTAAAAAGTGGTTTTAACATTGATATAGATATATGGTGAACAGAAGACGAAATAAGTAACAAAAGTAACAACAAATTTGCAAAATTAGCCGATTATACAAATGTCATTCATTGGTGAAATTCAACTCTATATAGAGTCATCCCAATTCAGTTAGAATACAGAAATATTCAGTTAGAATACAGAAATATTCAGTTAGAATACAGAAATATTAACAGAAACTTTAATGATATTTTAATTGTTAATTTGCAATATCTCCTAAGAAGAAACTAACTACTTTATCATTACAGAGGGGAATCATATAATAAGGCTCAATGCAACAAATTCGAAAATAACAGAACAAAATTATGGCAGACAAAACAATAAATATATTGTACAAATTTTTTTTTGACAAGTAAAATTGTATAAAAGAAGCTTTCAAAAGGGGAACACATCCCTTAGAAGATACTAAATATATGGTTCAAATTACAATCAATCAATCAAACAAAGAAGATTATCATTACAACAATTTAAGGATGTGTCCATAATTTAATTTTTTTTTAAATTTATTTCAGGCAATTGGCCAACAAATCTTTTACACCAAAACGACACATATCGAACACTCGGTCAACAAATTTCAGATACTTAATAGCACATCCCACACTGTTCGTCTCAAAACAACATTATGACCATACCAAACCTATTTTTCTTTAATAAAATGACATTTAATGACGTAAAACATAATTTTACTAAGTAAATAGGATAGTAACATCATATTTATTATAATGTATTCCTTTTTGATATCCAAATAGATTTATCTTCTAACTTATGTAACATTAGTATAGAAATTATAAATAAATTAAAGATCTATAATTGTCTAACACAAAAAATATATAAATGTGAGAGTATATATATATATTAGTTGTGTAAACAATGTATAAAAAGAATAGATATTTACAGATTTATATTTATTTTCAACAACTTTTTTCCTGAACTGGACGTATCGACCCATCAGTGTTGTATAGTGTCAGGGCCCGTGCCCATATCCATGCTTCTTATGTTGTAAAACAGGTCTTTTACTGACGCATAGCCTTAACTTAATCAAAGTGATCAAAGTGGATGGATGTGTAGCATGACAATATTTGAGAATGGAAATCATCCTCATCCCTTGCTTAATCTAATAAAAGGAGTCACGCTAGATTGCCCTGCATTTTGTCCAACCCAAGCCACTTCTAATCAAAACGATATCTATCTCTCCATCGTTTAGTATTGTATTATCTATCCTAGGTACAACAAGTGAAAACAAAATCAAGTAGAATTATTTGTTAAATCAACGAGTGAAGTTCAACTAAGGAATTCAATGACAAAAATAAGCCTACCTCTCTCCTTGACTATATTGTGAATGGCATAAATCTTCATTTCTGCTGGAGAGGGCTCCCTTTGTAAAATTTAAGTACATCAAATAAACTATCCATGCATAATTTCAACCAAAGAAGACATGGATGAAAGTAAATTTACACCAGCCCAATTATTCACAAACATTTTATTTGAATGGAGAGGATTTAGCAAAAACTATAGATATATATTAGATAAAGTAGTTGTCGAGAGCAAGAACACGTGATATAAATTGCATGAGCTGGTCTCATAATGTGCACTTGTCGCCCATATTATTGTTTTAGAAATTTGAATTATGTTTTATCAACTCATTTCACGAAATGATTCGAGCAATAGATATAAAAGCAAAAAACAGGTAAGTTCATTAAAAAATTTCAACTCATAACTTGGGTGGGAAAAGTGTTGACCAATTTAATTAAATCACTGCCAGTAGTGTCAAACATACTAAGGTGTTGACCAATTTAAATAGAAAGGAGAAATGACTTTATAAACAAAAAGCCGTTTTGGTGAATCTCATTTTTCAAAGTAACCATTTAATCATAATTAGTGAAAATTTCAATTATTATTAGTGAAATTGTGTTTTAACTTCCAGGATGAAAAAGAAAGCAGGTATACCTTGTTCGAAACATTCCAAAATTTCATTCCCAATATATTTTTTAATTATACTAAATAGACTTTGAAACAGAAGCGAATGACAAATCCTGAATTAAAATATTAGATTAATAGGCAACTAATTCTTCATTAGTTAAAAGTATCACTATTCAAAATAAGACATGTGAGACTATTATCAAATTTTCATTCATATGTGTCTATATCCCATAGGTATATTTTTTTATTACAATTGTTAATAATAATAAAAAATAATTTTAAAAATTCATCAACTGGTAAAACACAGAATTATTAATTATCTATTATGGAAGTAAGTAGGGTCTTCCAAACAAAAATCAGTTGTTATAATTATTAAGTTATAATTCTTAGAAGGTGGAATGTATCATGATTGTCATCTAATATGCCAACATAACAAATTAAAAGATCACGAATGCAACCAAAATAGTCTAATAAAAAAATTATTGTTATCATCAATACATACATGTTATTTACCCAAAAAAGAAAAAATAAAGTCTAAAAAAGAGAATTAACATCATCAAAACTTTATACAAAAAGTTAGATGCATATTCTGAAAGCCATACCTGAGTCATTGACCTTAGGAGCAAACCAAAGTCAATGAGCGTGAAGCCCATGAAGCAGATCATAGGAAGGTTCAGCACATTATCCTTCACGTCATCTGTCACAAATCTAAACATTTACTAAAACATGAAGATTTAAAGATCGTTATCACTTTAATTAAACATGTTCACATCATCCTATTAGTTAATCAACTTTAATCAAAAATAACTCTCTTTGTTGATTTACCGTGTGTGTGTGGCAGCATTCTTGTCTGAGTGGTAGAAAAAATGAATTCTTCCTGACCTGAAATACCCTCAATAAGTGAAGCCCTTATTACAAACCTTGCCTTACGAAGCCTCAAGCACCTTTAGACCTTGACTATATTTCGGCCTTCCTTCTTTGTATATTAGTTCTCACTTTCTTTTAACCTTGGGGTGTTTGGGACCAATATCCTTTTGTTAGTTTAAGAGTTCGACCTATGTTGTTGGACGTGATTTACTTTTCTTTTTTAGATTGCCTTTTCAATAGATATTCCTTGTGATCATTTTGGCTGGTAGAGAGTTGTGCATATCCAACCAAGAGGCTCACTTCTACAAAAAGCAAGGCTTTTAACAACGTTAAGGGAAGGGGGACTCGTCACCATTCCTTTTCCACTTAGCTAATACTATATTTGATCAAACAAGAAAACCCTCAAAAAAGAGGCAGATTTCAAAATCCAGTTGTGTGAGGGACTGGGAATGAAATACAGGCTTCAAAACGAAAACGATTGCCAAGCCCGGGGGACTCTGAGATAGAGCAATTGAAATCTTTTTCTCGTCAACAACCTCAACCGGTTTTGTGTTCGACAGGGAAAGAAAATGCATAAGATAGGCGGATTTTAGCTCTCCTACTCACTTTCGAATCAAGAAGCTTGTCTTAAACCGCCTCTTGTTTACCTATATGGCTATTCAGCTTCTTCCTCTTTCTTATTAATAATAATAAATTAAACAAGTTCTCTTTCGTCTGATGGCCGTATGGGGCTTCTTCTTCTTTTTTTTGATAAGTGGCCGTATGGGGCTTCTTGTCATTCCCTCTTACCATTTTAGATAGTACTAACGGGACGATGCCATTCCTTTCATACCACCTAACAGAGAGCAAGTTATTTTCATTCAACAGAGCCACTTTTCCTTCACCATCCCATCGAGGAACTTATGGCGTGTCATTTCCGCTTAGAACCCATAATAATAGGGATGCAGTGGCCGTTAAGAGCTTACAAGAAATGGAGCTCAAAGAACAACTCGACATTAAAAAGATGGAAGCAGCAAGCCTGGAATGTGAGCAGAGCAAATCCCAATAAGAGAGTACTTCTCTGTTTTCTTGTTTATAACTACTTATCATGCCTTGAGCCACCAACCTGAGATTATTCCAACTCAAGCAGCTTGGTAAAAAAAGCAACTCATCAGTAAGGTTGCTGCGGCAATGGCTGGGCTGGTTAAGGGCCGGTCTTTATCATTGGGGGAGCACAAAGTGGTGGGAGTAGCAGGGTGGATCCAGGCGTAAGATCTCTGATCGTTAAAGCACAGGCAGACTCGCCATGAAGCTTGTAACGAAGTGCTCTGGTCACTCTAGCTATTCCTTATTGATAAGGTTCCTCTGGGATCCAAGATTACACAGTTATCCAATTCCAAACCTCATCTAAAAAATGAAAAAAAGAAAAAAGATTTTGCACCATTTCCCAAGGTCATTTTATGCCATTTTAATTGACTATTTTGTGAAGCCAGGCCATCCCATTCTCTAAAAGGTGGTTCACATAGATAGAGAATAATTAAGACCATTTGTCCAACAACACATCCCGAGCCAAAAGAAACTAAAACACAGAATCAATCACCTCCAGAACAAACCCAAAAGTCATTATTTGTCTCCAGTTTCTTTCTTTAAGCATTTCCAAAATTGTGAAGCAAGAGAATAAACAGAAATCAATGACTAGAAAAGATCACAAAAAGATTTTTCAATTTTCAAAAAACAAAAAATGTTCAATAACTTGAATATGTTAGATGTGAGTGACATAGAAAACAGGATGAAATAGTAAAAAAAAAAAATCCAACCCAGCTGAGTTCCCAACAGAAAAAGAAAACACAGAATCAATCACCTCCAGAACAAACCCTAAACTCATTATTTGTCTCTGGTTTCTTTCTTTAAGCATTGTGAAGCAAGAATAAACAGAAATCAATGACTAGAAAAGTTCTCAAAAAGATTTTTCAATTTTCAAAAAACAAAAAATGTTCAATAGCTAGAAAATAATGTTAGATGTGAGTGACATAGAAAACAGGATGAAATAGTAAAAAAAAAAAAATTAAGTGAAAGAACTTACGTCTTGCCAACATGACGCTTGAAAGGGGTAGATATTCTTGTCGCCATCACTGAATGTCCACAGTACGGCTAGCCCCTTTGTACTCTTTGTACTGCAAATAAATTCACCATATAGATTAATGGCATCTAGAAAAACATTAAAATTGTAAAGAAATTCACCATATATATTGAATATTTGAAGAAAAACTTGCCTGTTTTGTTACTATATTGAAGTTGCGGACAAAAGAATTGGAAAATATAACCATTGCTGCGAAAATTTCAGAACCCTAGAACCCAAGAAGATGAGGACTCTCTTAGAACCCTAAAGAATGAGTAGCGACCGTAAACGTAAGAAAAAGCTGAGTAGAGACTATATATAGTAAACGTTTAGACTATATATCGTAAAATTTTACCGTACATAGCTGATGAACCCATTTGTCCTAGTTAAACTGAGATTTTGTTTTGCTGCATTTTGGTATTCTTTTTATTGTTTTTAAGATTTTTAGTTAAAAAAAAAAAATTGTTAGAGAACTCACTTGCTAACTTGGGGAATACGCTATATGCCTGAAGCTGTGCTGGAAAAATAACTTGACCATCTACATGGCCCCGGCCAATCACTAAATAAATGAGAAGGATCTCCCTAGGGACAAAACTGAGAACCATAGGGAGATCAAGCTATTTTGACCCTTCATGATGGTGTCGAGAGAGTCAAAAGAAAAGGATCTCCCTATGGTGTTCTCCGTCTTGTCCCTAGAATTTCAGATCAGAATGCTATAGAGGGAAAGACGATGGAGTTTGAGAGTGTCAAAAGAGAAGGATCTCCCTATGGTTAAATTAAAATTGCATAGTCTCTTCTTTTTCTTTTTTCGCAGATAAAATTAGAATTTAGAGAGATGAAAAAGAAGAGAGCCCAAGTAGATGAATCATATTACACACCATTGTTTCAAAATTTCAATAACTGAAAAATCGTGTGTAAAGTGACCAAAGATTCTTGTAACTAAAAGAATTAGACGCTATGCTCAATAGTAGGTCTTCAACTCTAAATTTCCTTCAATTCTAAGTGTTTTGACTTAATTTGAGTGCATTAACATATTATCAACATCATCAGTAGAGTCAACATTGACATCAACATCCTCATATCGTTAACATTAACTCATCTAGAATCACATAATCCTCTTGCATAGATATACATTTGATTAAGATAAATTGAAAAGAGACTTCCTATAAAACCAACATCACTGCTACAATGGTAAGGGGATTTATATAATTCAATTAGTTAGGCAAAAAAAACATACCTACTTTCTTTTTGCCCACACCACCCATTCCCATCAACTCTCTTCTTTCAGAAAAGAGACCTATATTATTAGAACAAAAGAGGAAAAGTTTTAAAAGCGTTAACAAACTTGTAAAACATATATTCTAAAATTGAAAACTAAACTTCCAAGTCTTTAATTCCCATTAATAAATTGTTCAAGCATCACATCATAACAATATTATATATATGTATGTAGAAACAAAAAAAAAAAAAAAAAAAAATCAGTATGTAAAACATGAATAAATAAACATAACCAATAGCTAAAAATGTCAATTAAAATTTTAAAAAAAGTAAGTTTGTTACCCGATGACTGAGGAGGCATGTTTCTTGAACCTTGTTCTTGCTAAATGTTAAGGCCTGATGTTAACCCTAAAAATAAGAAAACGCTCAAGTTGTAAGGAAGAGGTTTCACAATCTCATTCATAACAATTAAAACACCACCATCTAAGTACTATCTGTATCATGTATCTAACACAACCCAATTATGCTTCTAGTCAAAATGTTGGACACCTATCCGTAGAAAGAGGTGTGATTACGGATAGGTGTGATCAGCACATATTATACTCAGCTCTTATGTTAAATTAATCTAATAACAAAGTACAATGCATCAGTTTAGGAATAATCTTCAAAATTAACAAATCAATATCCTGATATTCTGCATTCTAATAACAAAAGAAAATCAAAAACCAAAATTTGAAAATAAAAATATGGCAGAAAGATTGAATATATCCTTCGTGGATTACACCGATTGTATTTCTATGTGAAACAAAACATCCAGGATTTCTCGATGTTGTGGGCTAAATCAAAATATCTCAACCAAAATCAACTGTTGTTTAAATCAATTTTAGTTAACTAACAATGTTTCTTTAGACAATTGACTGATTAAGGCATAGAAAATCCTATTTGGGTAATTAACAAAAAAAATTACCAATTTATTTCTGAACAATTCAAAACTCAATACCCTATCTCTTCTTTTCACCAATTTACTAATCCTATTTGAGAATCTACTAGTGGAAGCAGAGCGTGAGGTAGTTCATGGCAAGCCCCTCCCAACACTATGGAATTCACTCAAAAGCATGCTTTTTGCAAGTATTTTAATTTTCAATAAGTAACTTTAGCGCTTTACCCTATATTAAGTACTTTTGCTTGTCAAAGTTCTTGTTATGATTTTATTTTTTTTAGTTCTGAAAAGATTTCCATATTCAAAAAGCCTTGGCATGTTTGATAAAAATTGTTTTGCAGATTTCTAATCCAATTCAGATTTTTTTTTCTTTTTTCATGCCCAGATTCAGATTTTCTTGACAAAAAAAAAAATAGAAGTTATAGAAATTAAAAAATATATTTGTTTTGCTGAAATAAAATGTAGATTAGCAAAACAAAAATGTAGATTACGGTGATTACCTCAAAATACAATGCAATGATTACCTCAAAATAGAATGCAAATTTTGTTACTTTATATTGTAAAAAATAAAAATTATATAAAAAAGATCATAAAAAATTTCACTAAAAAGGATTTAGTCTGCAAAACAAGAATTACAGACCTTGATCAGTTGATTTTAGAAAAAAATTTAATACAAAACCCATACATACGAGTTAGCAGTTGCAGAGAGGGAGGGGGCAAGCTTGAGAGTTGAGAGACAGCGGGACAGCGGCTGAAGCTTGCGAACGGCGAACCCGAACTGGAACAGCAGGCGATGGGAACTGAAAGATATGGGTTTTGATTTTTTGAACAATCTGAAATGATATGCCGATATGGGTTTTGATATAGGTAATAGGTTTTGATTCTTGCAGACAGATAGATAAACTGAAATATATGGGCTTTGAACTTCTGATTCTTGTAGATTTTGCAGTTTGCAGTTTGCAGTTGCAGAGAGAGAGAGAGGGGGCAAGTTCAGACTTGAGAACGAGAATAGCGATGGAGGCGATGGGGGAGGCTGAAATGATTTGCCCTAGAAAAGGATGAGAAGCAGATCCTATCCAATGGTTGTTCGACACGTTGATGGCTACAGCTGTTCCAGTTGTCAATTGCAGTGGACAGTCAAAAAAGCATCCGACACACACATATAACCACATATTCCATACAATTCAAGGACACCAACCATGCCACCACAATACCATTACTCGCCCAGCTAAATGTACCCCCTATCCCTCTGATGCTAGTTTTGTTTGGAGGGTAAGAAACGGGAGGTAAAAAACACATACGAGGGATGAAAAAATATAAACAATAGAGAAAAGAAATGGAAGAAAGATGGGCAAAATTAGGATTTGATCAAATCACACATCTTACTATATTATGCCTTCTAATTTTTAATAAGGTATACTTAAAAATTCATAATATAACTATAAAAACATTTCAAATAACATAAGAGTCATTGCCTATGTTAATTTGATGTAGAATTTTGTATTATTTATAAAATTTCATTTTTTATAAGTCTAAAAATTCTTACCATAGAATATATGAAAATTATGTTTTTATTGTTTTTTATCTAAAAGTGAATAAATAAGAAAAAAAAAATATATATATATATATATATATATTGATTTCATTATTTTGACATAATAATTAATAAACCAACATAATTTATTCTTTGAATTTTTTAATTAACACTAATTTTGTAATAACTTGTTATTAAATTACTCTTTTACCCTAACAAATTTTTTTATTTGGAATTTGATATATATTTTTTTTTCTCATGTTTGGAGCCCCTACGTCTGGAGAGCCACCATCTTCACCCCTACGGTAACGACCATAGCCACCGCCTCCGCCATTTCTATCTCCACCACAACCACCACCATAGCTCGGGTCCTGGGCTTCGTAAGCCGTACAACGTCGAGCACAACATGAGGCAATAATCAGGTCAAGTCTCGTAACTGAACATCAATCTCCAGCTTAAACTTCACCTGGCTAAGCATGAACATCCGCCGCCTCGACTTCGCCGACATGGGCACGATCGTCATGATATTCACCAGCGAATGTTCGCGAAACTCTTGCTCGGATGCAAATCCGAATTCAGAAACCCCAGCGACTTGGACCAATCCTCGCCGGTGAAGCGGTTCGAATCGCCGATCAACCAAGAGCTGCGAGACTTGTTAAACAACGACGATTTGACGACGCTGAAGTAGTCGCGCTTTTGGTACTCGTTGAGTTTATCTTGGTCGTCGTCGTAGGGGATGATGTTTCTATAGAAGACGATATTGTTGTCGATTGGGCTAATTACGGAGTTCAGATCGGTGAAGAACTTGAATAGGTCTTGATCTAAGGAGGTTTTTGGATTGTGGTGGTGATCAGAAGGATTTTTTTTTTAAATCATTCATCGGGAGGTCGCAGAGAGGGAGAGAGGATGTTTTATGCTCCTCCGGAGTCCATGGGTACTGTTTCGACCCATATGGCGGTGAGGTCGCCGATGATCGACTCAATCAGGGGTTGCGCTCGCGCTGGAATTCTAATTTCAAGGAGGAACTCCAGCGAAGGATTATTATGTATGCCTCAGTACCTCCGTCAAGCCATCACTAACGCCATTCAATCAAAGACATCAATGCCAGTGATCGCCACTACCCCCTATCGCCGCCGCCACTGTGCCTTCCTAAGCTCCCTTAGTCTCCATGGTCATCTTCATTAATCCAACTAGTTGCGGACAATATGGTCCTGAGCTCAAAGGAAGGCTTCAGGAATTGATGAGCGAAGAACAGGTCTCTTTCTGCACACACAGATAAATGTTCTTTTAACGATTGAGGTTGGACTGATGTTGAATTAGATTGTGAGGATTTTTTTTTTTTTTTTTTAAATGTGTTTTTTTGGGTTAGGATTCACACGCAGCAGATATATGTTCTTTGAACCCTTCAGGCTCTTTAATAATAAGTTTTAGAGGGAGAAAATATATACACAGAATAATCAAATGTGACATTTGAGAGTGTATAATGGTGGAAATGTCTTTGCAATTATAATATGGATAAACATGATACTTCATGCTCAAAATTTGCTGATTTCGTCAAAAATCGTTATTGTCAGGCAGCGGAAGGGACAAAGTATTATAGCGGAGCTAACTTTGAAGGAGGCAAGTGATATTTTTGAAACGTTGGGGTACTGCCTGTAATTACTCTTAACCTCAGGGAAGGTAAGTGAAATTATCCCTTTTTCTTTTTGTGGTTAATTTATTAACATTTTTTTATATTTTTTAAATATAGAATGAATAATTAAAGTACATATCTATATTATATCACATCAAAGCACAAACGTGGGTTATTAATAAATAAACTTGATTAAAAAAAACTACTATACTTCACGTATTAATATTTGTGATTTTATATCGAATTATGTGGCTGTTTATTTAATTGTTTTGCTTATTTTAAGATGCAAGGCCACTTAAGACCCGAGATGTAGAAGAAAGGAGTTCAGTTGCCGTCCAGGGTGGAGATGGAGATGAAGGTGTGGATAGAAAGATTTTTTCCTTATTTTCTGTGCCAGTATTTTCTTCTTTGTGCTGCAGATAAGTTTTTAATATAGAAAATAGAGAAAAAATAGAAAAATTTATCATTATAGAATCTAAACTCTAAAATAACTCAATAATTTAAATTCAATTAATTTGGGAGACCATTTTTTATTAAATCTTTGAATAATTAAAACTAAAAGTTACAATTTTTTTTACTATGTATGAGTAATCTATTACTCGTAGATAAGGACACTAATTTACATTGTTCACTTTAAGTTTTTTAAAATTATATTTTGATTTGATATTTTCTGATTATGGTTAAATTTTAAAAATACTCAACAAAGATATACTTCTACATAAGTTCGGATAAATAAAGATATACAAAAGTCAAGAGAGTGAATAAAAATTATATATAATAATAATAATAATAATAATAAATATTAGTTGATAAAAGCAAATTATAAATAGAGAAAGAAACCAATGTAATTATTATTAATTCTTACTTTTTCCTTTACTCGTCAATTTGTTTAGTTTGTTAAAATGGGAAACACAAATGTATAAATGAATAAAGTATAATATGTATTAAAATAAGGGACATTCATATAAAATTCAAGATACAATCTCAAATTAAGATTCAAAATGTATAGCATTGCTTCAAATTCAAAATATAATCTCAAATTAAGATTTGTGGGTTAATAAATAATTCTCATTTCTATATATACTAATTGTATTATCTTTATCTTCCATTTGTTCACATATTTCCTTGGATTTAGTCTTAATTAGTTGAAGAAAACTCCTAAAACCACCTATCTGAAGTGGATTTGTGGGGATTTTTGTCTGGTTAGCAAAATATGAAAAAGGGTGTGCGAGAGAATCCCAAAGCCCTGAACAAGGGTAGAGCTTTACGGGAAAGAGTTACAGGGTTCGAAACCTTTGTGTCTTTGATTGCAAACAAAAGAGACACAATAGAAGCGGAGGAATTAACCAGAGTAATGAATCTGTCAATTGGTTGATTCACACCAATTTTTCTAATGTTCGTAATCAAACCTAGATAAAAAAAAAAAAAAAAAAAGGGTAGCAGAGAAAACAAAATTATTCAACTTACTTTCTATTTTTTACTTTTAAAACATTAAAAATAAAATTTTCTTATTAAACATCATTTTACTTTCTATTTCGACTCAAGGATTGAAAAGTATAATTTTACTTTTAGAGAAAGTAAAAATAAGAAAGTGAAAGCGTTAATAAACGGCCCTTAATTTTTTATTTTTTATTTTTTATTTGAAAAGTAACGCAGTTCCTTATTACAGAGTCGGTGAACTGTGGACATACAAAAACACAGATCAAACAAATTTTTATTTACGATGCCAAAAAAAATCAATGAATTTTTCTGGTAACGAATCAAAGATGAGAAATCAGAATTTCAAGATAGTTTAAAATGAGTAAATCTGAAAAATATTAATTAAAAAAAAATAGTAAAATAGAGAGAGGTAAAGAAAGAGAGTGAAGGAGAGTACATCTGCACGTTCGGAGGTTCAGTCGGTTTGGGGGACTCAGAGTGCATTCAGAAATATTTAGGTGGGTGTGGAATTGTGTGGGATTGTTGTCTGGGTCAAAGTCAAGCTTACGTATAGGAGGTGCTGCACGGCGTCGTATGGGGGTCTATTTTTATTTTATGTTTTTTCAAAGAAGATTAAGTGCAAAATAACTTAAGAAAAAAAATTGTAAAAAATCTCTCACTATATAAAAAATGTGCAAAAATTACCCTTATTAAAAAAAATTGCATATAATTTCTTGTATTTTCTATCTTTTGAGCAAAATTTGTTCCCTATTAAATAAAATAATTTAAAAGTACATTTTTTATGTAACAAAAATACCCCTACCAATTTTATATATATTTGAACAATGAATGGGTTTGTTTGAATGTACTTGAAAAATTATACATGAAAATATGTCTAATTTTTTTTTTTTCTCTCTAAAATATCTCTATATTGTTGTTTACCACCAATTACCAAGTAGACATCATTTTTATTTTTAATTTATTTTTTTATGATATTATATTTCATTTAATTTGTCAAGTGCAAGTGAGATTCATGAATAGTACATCATTTTAAAATTTTTTATTTTTTAAAATATTATTTATTTCAATATATATATATATAAACATAATCTTTCTTACAAATGTTCTGTTCTAATTCTATAAATTCTATATATTTTCCTTACATTCCTATAATTCTCCTTCTATAAGAAAGTAAAATATATCTCTCTCTAAAATTTATATGTCTTTGATTGTATCTCTTTCTAAAATAGAGCATCCACAATAGCACAATCCAGGAAGAAGTTACTTGACCCGCTTCAAAAAAATCATCAATCCAATTCCAATCTCTTCAAAAAGATTAAGAGAAAAACTTAAGAACTAGTTACAAATTTTCAGTATAAATAGATAGAAATCATACAAAAGTAATATATGAAAAATAAATTAAAAAAAAAAAAA